TCATTTTTATTTTTGTTTTTGTTTTTTTAAGTAGACTCCACGCCTAGTGTGGAGCCCAACACGGGGCTTGAACTCATGACCCTGAGATCAAGACCTGAGCTTCAATCAAGAGTTGGATGCTTAACTGACTGAGCCAGTCAGGCACCCCTCTTAGGTCATTTTTAACCTATCCTCTCAATTAAAAGTACGGCTGCCACTCCCAATTAAAACCTCTAACAAAGTCACATCTGCCAACTTGAACATCTCCTTTGACATTCTCACTGTTTCCGTGTTTCACCCAAACATGTAGATAGAGTGGCTTTTCAACAGAATTTGAGGAAAAGGAAAAAAATTTTAAGGAGCCACTGACCAGCATTTTAGAAATAAGATAAAGAGCCTAACACTATGACATTTTTTTTCTTTATATTTAAAATACAAAAAGATTGGGGCACCTGGGTGGCTCAGTCGTTAAGTGTCTGCCTTCAGCTCAGGTCATGATCCCAGGGTCCTGGGATGGAGCCCGGCATCGGGCTCCCTGCTCCACAGGAAGCCTGCTTCTCCCTCTCCCACTCCCCCTGCTTGTGTTCCTGCTCTTGCTATGTCTCTCTCTCTGTCAAATAATAAAATCTTTTTTAAATAAATAAATAAATAAATAAAATACAAAAAGATAAACTGTGAACCACAAGCTATTTTAACAAACAAGACAGGAAGAAAACTTGACAGACATAAGTTACTCAAGGGATGTCCAGGTCATATGAAGCCTTTTCATGTTGCTACATTCCCCAAGGATTCCATAATATCTTGTCACACTAGCAAGAGAACATCCCCATTCAAGGAAGAGAGAACACTGACAGAAGAACACAAAAGGGAAATACAAGACACTAGAGGCTGAAAATCCAGGGTTCAAGCCTATTTCTGCCACCTCCCCTCTACGTGACATTGGAAATTCATTTAAAAATCTCTGTGTTGGTTCTATTTTTTTAAGATTTATTTATTTATTATTTATTTGAAAGTGTGTGCATAAGCAGGGGAAGGGGCAGAGGGAAAGGGAGAGAATTCCCAAGCAGACTCCCTGCTGAGTGGGGAGCCTGATGTGGGCTCTATCCCAGGACTCTGAGATCATGACCTGAGCTGAAATCAAGAGTCAGATGCTTAACTGACGGAGCCACCCAGGCGCCCCCTGCATTGGTTTTCTTATAGAGATAATAAAGCCCCACCTACCTAGTAGAGCTATTGTGAAGATCAAAACTCAGTAAACACGGAAGCACACTGTAAAGTACTTTACAAACATTAGTTTTTTTTAACATACTATTATTCTCAGCTCTACACCTGACTCAACACTTGAACCCAACCAAGAGTCTCAGATGTGAATGGCGATGTTTCGTTCCCACCCAGGTTAAATGGTAGGCAATGCACTGTGCCATATCCCAATTCCTGATCACATCAGTTAAGGGGACATTCGCTACAGTTCTGGAATTACAGCTAAGATGACCACACACCGCACCCGTCTCGGTTTGCCTGGGACTGTTCCAAAATGAGCATCGCTTTTCACTCTCAAAAGTGCTCCAACTAGAATGATGAATTATATGGCCATCCTAATATAGCAGACATAAAGTTATGGCACCAAGAGATGGCAAGGGGCTGGCCTCGGGATTCCCACTGTACTCTCCAGAAGCCCCCGAAAGCCATCCTAAACAAATAATGTTGGCAAAAATAGTAAGCTTGCTATGCAGAACTAAGCCCCCTTCTAATCAGACTGATGCTCCTAAGGCCCTCCCATCTAAAAACTCTGTGGAGTTAATACACACAAACATTCTCTCATTTAAAAATCTTACAAACCCACAAAATATTCCAGCCTTAACACTCAAATAAGCACCTGCGCATATACATAAACCATGGAGAAACAATCAGCTGGGAATCTAAACCGCTATATTGTATCACCAATCCAACCTCCTGCACAGCCTTAGGTGAGACACTCAGCCTTCCAGCTGGTTTTCACTTCTGTAAATCTGGACAATGTTCGTCTCCTGCACTTCCACAGAGAAAGCCCATTAGCAAGCACGGTGAAGTGCTTGGAGTGCTCTATGAATGCAATGGCTTGTAATCTCATAAAGCTTGCTAACTGATTGGGAAAGAAGGCTGGGGTAACTGCACATAAAAAAGCAAAACCTCTACAAGGTGGCAGGTGTTTTTTTCCCTCCTTTGCTCCACAGGTTTCTAATTCAAATGTGCTGGTGGGAGCTTACATAACAGCATGAAAAAGGTCACTAAACAGTGAGATGCTGGTCTACTTGGTGCTAAGGAACTCAGGGGTAATAATCCTTAACCAGGGGCCATGGCTTCCTAAATCTGTGGCTGAGCTTCATGAGGCCTATGAAGCCGCCAAACGATAAATGAAGGATGGGAGTGAGCAGGCACGCACGCACACGACCACCCAGGGAACAGTCCCCAGGACAGAGGAAAGGGCCCTCAACAAAGAGAAGACAAATTTCAGTTCTTATGCAGCTACTGTCTGGTATGGTTACCCTGGATAAGCCACTTTATCTCTGTGTGCCTCAGTTTTCTGCTCTCTCCAAAGAAGTGTTTGTTTTGTCTACTTCAAAAGATGACTGTGAGGATGAGGTGGGAAAGTACGATGACAGTGCTCTAGGAGGACCAGGATTTTAACTTTGCCTCTTTTAAAATCATGAGGAGATGCTAATAAAAATCCTGTCTGGGGACGGTTCCTATCTGTTTAGAAAGGAACAGCAAAAGAATGAGGGCAAATAAATACACACAATTAAAATTCACCTTCACCTCGCCCTCCTGGCTCCTGGATTTGCTGAGCCAAACCACTCTGGGGAGACGTAAAGATCACAAGTTCAGTTTCTGCCCAGCTCAGGCTGCTCAGTGACCAGTGCTGCAGACTGATAAATGCCTCCCAAACCTCAGCGCACAAAGTGAGAGTTCACAAGGTTAGGCGCATTAATTAGCAGTACTCATTTGGATTCTGTATTCATCAAATACAACAAGCAGCTATTCAATATTTGCCTGTTTGCACTGCTCTAAGATCTCTAATTCAAAGATCCAGTCAGAGAACAAAATAAAGCCCAAGAAAATAAACTAATATAAACCTGTCACCATCAGAATGTGCCTCAAAGTAAATTAGCAGCTTTAAACTATGGCAAAAGGGTCTGCATAGACCTACAGCAGAGACAGTATGAGTAATGAAGATGCAGGTTACAGAAGTGGGTCCCTTCCACAAGAGAAAGGAAAAATAAAGCAGTTCCAAGCAACTGTGCTTTAACAAATTCCTCTTAATTCCTTTTGCTTAGTTTCTTATTGATCTGCAATCCCCACAGAAGAACAGAGCATTATACAGTACCTTTCAGATCCTTTTAAATTCAGTACGTCTATTCCCATACTTTACTTCAATTAGTTTTATCTTCCTATATCTAAAATAAGCCTATATCCAACATAAGCAAAATTTTATAAATAAGTAAACATATGCACTGGTATCCAAGACTGGATAGAGACTGACCATGATCCTTTATGTTTTAAAGGTCCTAGGTGAAAAGTACAGGATGAAACAGAAAATGTCACTCCTTTTAAAGTAGCCCATAGGACTACAGTTCTCAACCCCGGCTGCAAACAGCATCACCTATAAGGATTTCTAAGTATGTGAATGACTAAACCCGATTTTAGACCTACCAGTCAGAACCTCTGGGGGATGATTTCTAGGCAGTAGTACTTTTCCTGATATATGGCCACGATATAGAACTACTATCAAAGGGCATAAATTTCACAGCTTACAAAAGCTCTAGAGCAGATCCAAACCAGAAAGAGAGAAAGAAAGAAAATCCTCTACATTTTCTTTAGATTTGAAGTAAATGACTGTATCTTTCAACAAAAACTTCCATAGGGACAAACTTCAATGCCAACGGTGATGATCCCACCGGGAGATGAACACAGAGATCAACACCACTCTCCCTCCCCCTTTTTCTCCATACCCCACCTGGGGCTGGTCTGATGCCAACCCAGCACCAAAAGTACAAGAACTGGGCAAGTACTCAAACAGATGACCGCTGATGATGGGGCCATCCTAGTTATTAAGATCAGCTTCAGGGGCTCTGATGAGATTCAACTATGTCACAACACTCTGGTTTAGCACTCTGATGACACATGTCCTTTGGACAAGCCTAACAGTGAGGGTCTTTTTGGACAACCCTATAGGAAAGTTGGATAGGCATTCAAAGACAGTGCTAGGAGCTACCCTTTCAAATCTCCTGAAAAATATCTATATGCCCAAACAGCAAAGAGGCAAATTCAGAGGGTAGGTATCTTAAGCCACATCATTCCTCTGAGGCAGCTTTACCTGTTCTTCTAACCTAATGCGGCTTCAGCCTCATCTGCCCAAGGTTTCAAACAGTGGAAGGATAGGGAAGGCATTTTATGCACTCACCTAAAGCATCCAGAGGATGTCTCATAGGAAGCAGTACTGCTCTACCCACAGTAGGACCTGGGCTTTCTTCCAATCATCATCCCCATCTAACAAAGAAACGCAGCAGAAACTTCCCTCTCTCAAGCAAGCCTTCCCTGATTAAAACCATAAGGCTGAATTCCCCCAGGAAGGAGAATGGAATTTTCTTGTTGCAGATTATTGCAAGGACTCAAAAAAATCTGTGCAGGCAGGGGCTAAGTGGCAGAGAATTAAGAGACAAACCCAGCACTTAGAATTATGACACATCAAGAAAACCAGGTTAAAAAATTACTATCAGCCTGGAGAAGAAAAAACAAAAGCAATATGGCTGTGCCTGAGTGATTTTTTTCCCCTGTAATATCCACAATTTCAGTAACATGATTACAATTCTTTTAGGATTAAAAAATATATTTTATTTGTATCTCTAAATGTAAAGTCATTGCTGAAACTAACCACATCACTCTCCAAAATTATTTCAGGAAATGCTCTCTACCATAGCATCCTTAGAATGAACACACACACACACACACACCCCATCTGAGTTATAACAGCAGATACCAACCTGGCTGTCCCGTGCTGGGAATCCATGATAACCTTGGGTCAGAGGCTCGTTCTAAGAGAAAGAAAAGAAAATCAAACTATAAGACAAAATAAAATGTTAAGAATCACCAAACTGATCAAATATAAATTCCTGCAACAGTTCCTAAGATGTTCCATTGCTATATTCCACTCTAACTACATACCTCTCCCAGTTCAGCCTCTACAATGGCAAAACCCAAACCAAACAAACAAATAGTATTTGCTTAAAAAACTACTCATAAACACTATTTCCCTCCTTATACAGCTAAATCTGTTTCCTTCCCAGTATATTTCAAATAGGGAGCCACTGTGATTTGAGGCAAATCAACTCCTAACTTCACACTGTGGGACTTTAGCCTCCCTGGCCCTAAACCACTAAAAGCCTGTAGCAATCCTAAACACAAGGACAACCAAAAACATCCATACTTTCCCAAGTCTCCTGGCCGAACAGTACCACCCGTTCTGAGAACTACCTCTTGCCCTAGAAGTTTTAGCCACTCCCCTCTATCAACATGTGTTCCTTCAGTTCTTTGAACCCTACATGAAATCCCACCTCTGCTCAGGACTTCCTCTACTGCCCTATATCACCCTATGGACCCAAGTGACTCCTAACATGTATATATTAAAATGCATTTAAGCTATTTGTACAATTTCCTTTTCATATAATTTATGACTCAATAAATCTTATTTTCGTAAAGGTGTATCATATCGAGGGTCTCATCTTCACATTAACCACTAAATCAAGATCCTTGAGGGCAAGAATGATAGCCAATAAAAGTTGGCTATATACTAAACTAGTATAAGGTCATATGATATGAGCACTCATTCATGGCTTGACCCATTCAATCATTCAGTCAACACATACTGAACACCTAATTTTTTTTTAGAAAGAGAAGGGGGGAAGAGGGGCAGAGGGACAGACAGAACTTTAAGCAGGCTCCATGCCCAGTGTGGAGCCCGATACAAGGCTCGTTCTCACAACCCCGAGATCATCACCTGAGCCAAAATCAAGAGTTGGACGCTTAACTGACTGAGTCGCCCAGGCTCCCTGAACACCTAATATTTTTAAAGTACAGTTAGATGATAGTCATCAGCAAGAAAGATCAATAACACAAGGCCCTTGCCTTCAAGTGAACTTTTAAATGGGAAGAGATCCATGTGCACACTCAAGTGTAAATGAGAACATATGGTGCTTTTGTAGTTTCTTCAACATGCTCAACGCAGCTACCTGGAAAATACTCACCCTCTTTTTCCATCCATCCATACTTTCATTCTAACTAGCAGAATAACAAGGTAAGAATTTGCATTGACAGGACTTTCAAATATTGGCAAGAGTACTTTCCCACCAATGATAGATCTGCTTTGATTATATCCTTATCTTTGATAATCAAACATCCACACTGCATTCAAAAACATGAAGCCAGGAGCCAACATGAGCTCACTGCAGAGACATCATGTCTGTGCACTGCGATCTCCCTGCAATCTAGCACAGTGTCTAACACACGGTGGGCACACAAAACAATGGATAAATAAATGGAGTTCAATAAGCTGAATTTATTTTGGCATTCATCACTGATTCAATCATAGAAAATCCACATTCTCCTTTTTGATTCCTAAGTCTCTATTTTGGACATTTATAAATTCAGTCTCCCCAGAGAAAGCACACCAAAGATAACAGCCTTAAAAAATTATAGGTGCCAAACAATCCTGAGAAAGAAGAGTAAAGCTGAAGGATTCATGTTTCCTGATTTCAAAGTTTCCTGCAAAGCAACAGTAATCAAGATAGTATAATACTCGCCTGAGGGTAGACATATAGACTGATGGGCTACAACTGAGAGTCCTGAAATAAACCCTTAAAATTACGTTAAAATTATGATTTTTGAAAAGGGTGCCAAGAAAATCAACGGAGGTAAGAACAGCCTTTTCAACAAATGGTGTTGGGACAACTGGCTATCAACATATAAAAGAACGAAGTTGGAACGCTATCTTACACCATACAGAAAACTCAAAATAGATCACAGATCTAAAACCACAAAACTCTTAGAAGAAAACAGAGAAGCAAATCTTCATGACTTTTGGTTAGGCAATAGTTTCTTCAGTATGACATCAAAAAAACAAGTGGCAAAGGAAACAACAAATTGGACTTTGACAAAATTAAAAACTTCTGGGACTCAAAGGATACCATCAATTCTGGGAATCTGATGTCTGGCATAGTGATTACAGTTAATAATACTGTATTATATACTTGAAAGGTACTAAGAACGTAGAACGTTCTCACCATAACAAATAAATAGTAATTATGTGACATGAGGCAGGTGTTTGCTAACACTGCGCTGGTAATCACTTCCCAATATATAAGTGCACCAAATCAAAACCTTGTACACCTTGAACTTATACAATGTTATAGGTCAATTATACCTCAGTAAAGTGAGGGGGGAAACTCCATCAATAAATGAAAAGACAACTCATAGAATGGGAGAACATGCTGCAAAAGTCATCTGATAAAGTGCCTGTATTCAAAATATATATAAAGAACACTTAAAAAGACAACCTAAATTTTAAAATGAGGAAAGGATATGCACAGGAAGTTCTCCAAAGAAGAAATACAAATGGCCAATAAGTACATGAAAATATGCTCAACCTCATTAGTCATTAGGGAAATGCAAATCAAAATTGCAATGAGAAAATACTTCACACCCGTTATGAAAAAAAGACAAACTTTAGTGAAGATGTGGAGAAACTGGAATTCCATACATTGCCAGCAGGAATATAAAGTGGTAAAGGCACTCTGGAAACAGTCTGGCAATCCCTCAAAATGTTACAACAGAATTACCATATGATCCAGCAATTCCACATTAGGTGTAAGGAATAAAACTGAAAACACAGATCCACACAAAACCTTGTACTGGAGTGTGCATAGCAGCTTTATTTCATAATCACCAAAAAGTGGAAACAATCCAAATGTTCACCAGTTGATGAATGGATAAATAAAGTATGATATAACCATAACTGAATGTCAGTGGGTAACACAAAGGAACGAAGTACTGATACAACATAATATTGAAAACACCATGCTAAGTGAAAAAAAAAAACCCAGCAAATTGTATGACTCCATTTATACAAAATATTCAGAATGGACAAATCCATAGAGAAAGAAAAGAGATTAGCAGCTCTAGGGGATAAAAGGGTGAAATGGGGAGTAAGTGGTAACAGGTACTGGGTTTGGTTTTGATGATGACAACGTTCTGGAATTAGTGATGACAGACGTACAGCTTTATGATTATACTAAAAACTACCAAAACACTAAAAACTACTAATATCACTTTAAAAGGGTGAGATCTGGGGCACCTGGGTGGCTCAGTCAGTTAAGCATCTGCCTTCGGCTCAGGTCATGATCCCAGGGTCCTGGGACAGAGCCCCGCGTCGGGCTCCCTACTCGGAGGAGAGTCTGCTTCTCCCTCTGCTCGTGCTCTCTCTCAAATAAATAAATCTTTTAAAAAATAAACAAATAAAAGGGTGAGATATATGGTCTCTGAATTCTATGTCAATCAACCTATTATTTAATAACAATAATAATAATGGGCCATGGTTAGCTGCTTTCACACTCATTTTTACAGGGGAGACATATACAGCTTAGAGACAACAAAAAGAACAGGACTCCTTCTGAAATCCACAGTAAGTGTCTTGTTTGTTCTGGATTCTGTAATTTACTTTGACACCATTCCCTACAGATTTTAACAGCAATGATGATGATAAAGATGGTGATAACGACTAGATACTGAGCAACTAAATCAGGTATAGTTTCAGGATGGAGGGGAGGAGGAGCAGAAAGCAGCAAAGAGGAGATAATAAAGCACAGGACTGAGTAAGGAAAAAACTTTCAACCCAGGTCTGTTGGACTCCAAAGCCCCTATTCTTTCCATTTTATCAGCTTCTCTTCTACAATAACCATTCCATATTATTTTTTTACAGTAACTATTTTAAGATTGTCTGAGAAAGAAATTATATGATTAAGAAAGTAATGGAAAACATCCAAAAGCAAAATTAACATTCATCACTCCCAGAGAATATCCCACATATAAACTATATTCTTGAGTTCAACAATGCAAAGAACTTTTTATAAGGAAAAAAATCAAACCTACAAGCTGGTATTGTCAGAAACATTAACAGCAAAGACAAATGTAGCAGGCTGCACAGATAGATGTCAGAGGAAATGGACTCATTCCTTCATGGGCCTTGGCAAAGTCAAGCTCCTCTCTCTCCCCCATCTCTCAGGTAAGTTATCTGGAACTCACCAGCCCTCAGAAACTCCTGGCTCTGAAAGCAGCCTACCCTTAATGACAAAGGCTTGCTTTCCTTTTTAATTTTATCATGTATAAATATGTCCCTCCAAAATGCATTAACTCTGCATGTTTTTTAATTTATAGAAATGGATCTTATCATCTGTATTCTTTAGCGATTTCCTTTTCTTGCTCCAGACTATGAGATAAATCCCCCTTATGCATCTTTACTGGATCTCAGTAGCTGTGACTCCTGTTTAGTACTCTATCTTACAACTATGTCACAGTTTATTCACCTGTCTTATTTTCCTCTTAATAGATTTTTACATTGTTTCCAATTAACGCTTTTTTTTTTGCACTCACAAACCATACTGTCTATGAACATTCTTTTGGATTTGAGATATCATTTTTCACTCATGAGACTGGCAAAAATGAAAAAGAAAATATCACAAGTTAGCAAGAACAGTAAATAGGCACCTTCACATCTAATAGAATATAACTATATTGAGACCACTGTTTTGGAAAGCAATTTGACAATAATCATTAAAATGCTAAGTGCACACACCTTCTTGTAATTTCACATCTTTTCTCTCAGTAGCCTCTCTAGATAACCACTTGCATGTGTGCTCAAAGAAGCACGTGCAAAGACTTTCAATGCAGTGCTGTTCGTAATAGTGAAAAACCAGAAAGAACCTTGGTCTCCCTTAATAATGAGAATCGGTGCTATTATTTATCTCAACACCCTGTGTGCAAG